TGAGAGGCGAAGCTGAGTGATCCCAGTTTCCCTATCATGAACTTTGATGACATCTGATTCAGGAATAGGCGGGACAAAAGATGGCTTTTGCTTCAAGGTTAGGTCTTGCAGTTGTAGTGTAGAGATCAATTCTTTTGGCACCTCCAACTGCACAAATCAACACATTTAGCGTATTTTCAGCACTAAAATTTATACTTGTATTGAGAAATATATATAGATAGATAGATAGATAGATAAACCAATAGGTGATGTCAAGAAAGATCAAACACCTCAGGCTCGGCCTCAATAGGTGCCTGTAACCCTGATTCGATAGCAGCAACTATTTCGCTTGGAGATATGCTGAAATCAGTCTCACCAACTCCATCGACATGCACCTTTGTGGGGACACATGCAACAATTGCTGCAGGGAGGGGTGCAGTAGGCTTTCCAAAATCAGAGATGAATTCTAACACCTCAGCACCAATTGTATTTACCTAGGCAAGGAAAAATCAATCAGGGAAGAAAAGCAGGAAATTGGAAAAAAAAAAAAAACAAGAATTCCATTATATACATGGAACCATATCAAGCTTTCTCAAGATATGCAGGTAGTCAACAACTTTCTCATGCATACTTATACAAAGAATCACAAAGTTTGACATGAATCAACGGAAACATCATTATACTGTTTGCAAGAACAAGCTAGTAAGAACAAGTGAAACTGCGAGATTACCTCTTCAAGCGTAACTGTTCCAGCTACAGTAACCAAGGTCTCATGTCCTTGCATCTGATCCATGACTCTGTGCCCTAGTGCATCACTTTCCATTATAAAATCAAGGTTATCAACCGATGACACATTATCAATCATGGCTGCAAGGTGTTCACTGTCTTTTAGCAGAGCATCCATGTAACGTGTAAGTTCTCCCTTAGTAACACCAAACTCTTTGAGCCTTCGAACCTGGACAGAAATTACATGTTTAAAGAAATCTTTAATATGGTTGAACTGAGTTCCAGGAAGGACATAATCATCCAAAAAACGAGCTTTACATCTCTTGAGCAAAGAAAAAAGTGAAAGTAACCCTTCAGAGTTCATTAGCTCATCTCTTCAACCGGTCTAAATATCATCAAGTCTTAATTGTTCATCGAACAACAAAAAAAATTATAGTTTTTCATAGTGAATATAAAGCAAAGCGAATAACAAAACTACACACCTCTTGGACAGCAACCTTCACTGCATTTTCCCAGTTCTTGGGCTCTGCAGTCACAGTAAGAGTTGTAACAGTGCATCCTTCCCTTCCAGAATCACTATGGTCTAGTTCAACCGACGTAAAAGGTGGGTTTGAACTCTGAGAATTACAAAATATTGCATTATTGAATTTCCACACAATATTTTCAATCAAGAGAACAGTAACAAACACATCTTTTTCACACAGCTAACAAGCATTTCCCTGTGCAAAATTTTCCTGAAACGTTTAATAGAAAATACGGCTGCATCAGCGAACAAACAACGGTTCTCTGTTTCCCAAAATCTCAAGATAGTACACTTAGGCAAGAGAATTTAAAATTATATTTTGGATAATGAATTGGAGCGCCCTCTCCTTATCTAGTGAGAATCAAAAAGGAAGTCCAGCATCTTCTGACGTCTAATCTAAAATGCTTTGCAAGATTAGATAGTACAAAAAAAATTGGTTAACTTTTCCACGCCTTCAACAAAATATGAGAACAAGCATCTTGAAAAAGTTTATATAATAACATTGACATACCTTGTATCTCATATTAATCCGAAAATGTAGAGCAGATAGAAATATTCGCTTCATCAGAACATTTCGTAAGTCCCCAAACGTCCGTACCTTGTTTACAGGTATCTGCAGGAAAACCAAAAAGTGTAACACTTTTTAAGAAATAAATACCAATCACCCAAAGTTGATTGTGTCCGCGAAAAGTTTTTTAGAGGAGAGAAGAGGGGAGCTTAAATAGCTTATAACGAAACCTTGCAGAACATGTTAATAGCAAAATTTTGAAGAAGCTCATGCTGAAATATCTGAGGAGGCTTCAGATCAACACTATTTCCAGGAAGGGACCAATTATGGTCAACTGGGGGACGAACTGCGTGCCTTTCCCTTTTAATAATTTTAGACTGATCAGCAGAATTTGGTCTCTCTTGGGATAAAGTTCCAGCAAGGCCAACTGGGAGTTTAGGAACAAGAAAACTAGCCATGGCACCAAAGGCATTAGGAGTAGGGGGAGGGGAAGCTGCTTCATTCTCCACACCAGTTTGCCCAAAAACGGCCTGTGCATGAACAATAGTCTTGTGAAGATAGAGACCTCACAGACCAAATTCAAAGTTCCAATTTAACCAAAAAAAGATAGAAGACAGTGTCAAGAACGCCATACTTCAATGTGGTGAACTGTCTGGGCAATGTTATTGATATCGCCAACAATATATAGTGTGGCATTTGCTGGGAAGTACCACCGCTCATGAAATTTCCTAATTTTGTCAACATCCCATTTCTTAATCTGCTCCTCCAATCCAATTGGAAACCTTTTACTCAGCTTGTTTTCAGAATGAAGATGTTGCAACAACTACAGTCACAAATTAACGTAAATATATCACCGGTGATTAGTTCCAGATAAACACAAAAAAAATAACCAGGGAAAGAACTGTTATGCTAACAGATATCATTACCTGGCAGTCAACGCGATACTCAATTGTATTCATCATCTGAAGTTCAGAAAGTATGGCACGCCTTTCTTTCTCAACTCGGGAAGAGAGGAATTTTGGGTGAAAAGCAATCTGCACACACAAAAGACATAGGTTTTTTTTGGGTCTGTCTAAGGTGCAAGAGTCCATAAATCAGAGAATAATTCTGGTATTACTAAGGCAAACCAAAGGGATTTGCATAGTCAATACAAACATAGTATCTCAAAATCTTAGATACCAAAGTCATGACTGTGTACCTCATTCAAGGCATCGAGCACATGTGGCAGCAGGTTGCCATCAGAATCCTGAAAAGAACCCTCAGTTAATGATAATGTGAAACTAGCATTCCCACTGTAACTCGATCAGGGTAATTAGCAAGGTTCAGCTTACTGTCGTAAAAAGCCTGCAAGAAGTGAGGTGGAAAAATGTTTTAATGAAGAGTCAGCACACACATCCAGAAGAGTGATACGTATGTAAAAGCCCAAACCAACATAGAGCAAGACTACACAAACTATCTTTTCTTGTAATATCTGAAATTCATCATGTAGCACGAGGAAACAATGAGACTTTTTTATATATAAGAAAAAGAGATGGAAAAGTATGAAAAAAAATCTGATTAGACTTGCTCTGAAATCAATGCAAAAGAACAAGGCTACAAAAACTGACAGATTGAACTAAATGCAGGCATTTGAGGAAAAACACACTAATCGCGGACAAAGCTATATCAATGAAGAAGGCATCAGGTGCAAGCAATAACAAACCTTTGTATGGGTTGGGGAATGGATATGAAATACTGTATGGTGGAAATCAGTGTAGGCATTAGAGCGGGCACCTGTACCCAGAAGTTTCTCACGCTTCTTGCTCCCGAGGAATGCAACATGTTCTATCATATGAGCTATTCCTTGCTCATCATCTTCCTCATCGATTGAGCCTACATGAACTTCCATGTGTGCCTCAAATCTGCCAATCAAAACATTGCCACATAAGTGATGAATAAGACGGAGGTATTATATATGATCCTGCCATATTCTTGAGCTCTCAAGGACAGGGTACTACCAATTGTCTTCAACAGATTTCCAATTTCATTACTGAACCCAAAATAAAATTTCAAACAACAAATGTAAATCACTTGCAACATCAAAGCGAAAACAGACTAGATATTCTGTCAGACAAAATATATGGGATATTCCATCTGAATGCATGCATGATGCGAACATTTACATTACCTATTTGGTGGAACTTTGTTTGGCAAGATGAGATAACGAAGCCCGTTTTTCAGTTGTCCCCGATGCAACTTTGGGTGAGAAGGAAGTTCAGACGCAAGAAATGCCTCCAACTCTGCCCTGTCTATCTCAGGAGGAAGCAAGTCCACATCTTGTCTCTCCGCAGCAATGCCATCCGGCCAGGCTGTACCCGCAGCGTGAGGCTCATCTGGCCCCACGGTTGCATTGAGAATCTGAGGATTCTTTCTCTGAAACGTTCCAGTAGAATCCAACCAGTTTTACACATACTGCAGCAGAGGCACAAAATGGGCATAGTAAAGTAAAGATGTGCATACCAATGAAGTGTTCGAGCGAGACTTCAACAAACTAAACGCAGTTCTGTCTAGAAAGGCTCTTGGTATTGATCTTCTGTTCCCGGAACAGCGATTTTTACAGGTAAGACAGAAATCACTTCCCTGAGGAAATGATGTCTTAGTAATACCCACAGCACTGTTCCTCTTCCATCGCCGGATTCTTAAAGTTTCTTGCGCCCACCTTTGCCACCATGAAATTCAACCAAAATCAACAACTAATCGTCAACATAGCAATACCCAAAAAGAAAAAGAACGATTTTCCGTGAAATACCCACAGCCCCAAAATCAATAAATGCAAAAGACCACAAATTTAGCTATAATTGGAACAATATGAATCGAGAACTAGCACTTTGTCGCCGAGAATTAAGAAAAAAGAAGCAATAAAGAAGCTCTTCCGGAGTTATATTCCGATAAACATGCCGTACCTGGGACATGTAGAGAGAAGAAATGACTGAGCTTCGGCGCGAATACGACTCGGAGCTGCCGATGGCGAGAGAGTGAGGCGCGAATACGCCGAATGGAACCTAACTCTACTCTGCTTCCCACTCCGACATCTTGGGCCACCGTCGCCCGGGTTGAACGGAGCTACGCCAATCTGAGATAGTTTAACGCCGGAAACAATGGATATCGACGACGACGCCATCGCCCCCTAACGGCGAACTCCTATAGAAAGAAGAATAGAGATGACGAAAGAAGAGGGAGAGGAGGTTGCTACGTTGATTCACCGCTTGCTATCGCACACTTTTTTTTTTCCACGATGTTGTTTTATGCACGGTGTTTTTTCCTTTTTGGACATGATATTTTAGTGTGTAATATATCCCCTTAAAAAAATTTATTTTTTTTTCAAATATGATTATGTGATTTATCAAATTTTTAGTGAGGTTTTAATTACATTTTTAAAATTTCACAAATTCATCTGTTTTTTTTTTTAAATTTTATTAAATAAGTTGAAAGAGATCGGAAAATATTGTATAGATAATCCGTTATCAGGTAGAGGTGACGGATTATAGTTGAGAAACAATTGTATAATATTCTATAGAATAAGATTTATCTACAATAAAAAATAACAAAAATATTAGAAAATATATAAGTTTAATTTTTTTACTAAATACATGCTATATCCAAAATGTTAATCCAACGAATTAAATCGTTATCAAATTAATGTTGTGTAAAAAAAATATCTGATTAGTTTAAATTTCAAAATTTTATATATTTTTCCAACGAATTTTCCCTTTTATTTATCGCATAAATAATATTATGATGGGATATCTTGAAGAGATGAAATTTTGCTTTGGTTATTGGGCTTAGAGGCCCTATTGTTATTTCTTTTGGATTTGCGAGATTCCGCAAGCAATCTATATGAACTCTTATTCATCATCGATGAGGTAAGATGCGGACATGAACTCTAATCCATTATCGATGCACAGAGAGATTCCACAAGCAACCTATATGATCGTGATCGTGATCGTGATCGTGATCGTGATCGCGATGAATAAGAGTCTCCGCGAATAAGAGTCTCCGCGACGAACCAGAGAATCAAAACCAAACGTAACTTCTTTGTAGTAGCAAAATCTCGTGATCTTTCAAGAAATTCTAGTGAAGATATAGCATCGTCAACCATAGAAAAAGTGTCGGGAATATTTTTTTTATAATTCGAAAGTTCACCGAATATTTGACTTAATTATATCTTCGAGAGGATTAGAAAAATCCAAGTGAATGTCCATTCTCAAATGGAGATTCGAATCTGGATTGAAAAATATAAGGAAATTGTCTCAATGGTACATTAACAGAAGCTAAGAGAATATATTGGTGCATATGGAATTTGATTTGCAGAGAGGTTAAAGAAAAATTATGTATGGAACAAAGGTAGAGGTGACCGTCATTGTTGGTCTACTAAGCCTGGATTCACTCGGTAGCTAAGTTGATGAACATTACTATGGTAGTGAATGTGATCAAACCAAAATAATCTTAAAATCTTGGAAGGTTAACATTAAAACAGATTTATGTTAAGACAAATCTGTTTTAGAATTCCAAACCAAAGCAAATATGTTATTTAAAATTTTAAATTCTAATTTTTTTGTTACGTTTTGGAAACAACAACATGTATATTGAACAATTATCATATAAAACTGATTCAAAAAGTTGTTATCTATGGAGTGAAAAACATCTCGAAAACACATATTTTCGGTTTGCATATCGATTTTTTAAAATCTTGTTAAAATTGTAACAATATTTAAAACTAGAGAAAGAGCTCAATACACTTGTATATATTTTATAACCTTTTTTTTAACTTCTTAACTTATAAGATGGTGTTTTATTCTCTCCTTTTTAGCATAAAATATTATTAAATTATATTGCCTGGTACATATAATATATCTATTTTTGTAATATGTAGTTGAACACGTGTTACCCTTAGGACCGTTTAGACGGTTAATCGACAGCAGAACAATACAACATTTCACAATCATACCGACAAATTCATGGTTTACAGACAAAGAACATGATTTAGTCTTTATAATTGCTTCACAACTTCATCCAGTTACGTCACGCCACGTCATAAATTTCCCAGGGAATGACCAAAATACCCCTAGTCGTTCTCAACTTGACCTCCATGTTCCTCCGGCAACTGCGGAGGAAACTTCCGCCTCACAGCCGCGCAACCGCCTCTGAAAACCATCTGGAACACGACCAAGACCCATCTCTTTAAATATTGTATCTAACACTCTTT